AAAAAAAAAAAATGCTGTCCGTGACCAGCAGATGAAAAAATTCAACAATTACCTAATCAACGATTCAACATCAATTGCAAAAGATAATGCTGATTGCACATGGTTTTCGACAATCGATGGAATTCCAGATACAACAACAATAGCATCTGACTGAATTCGAATACAACTGTATCTCTAAATTCGCATTTTGATATCACTAATATTTTGTCTGCTTCTTGTTTTCACTCTTAAAGGTAATTAAAAGTAAACTTTTTTAAGTTTATTATGTCTTCAACTCGGCACTCATTATGGAACTATTCGAGACAGACTATTCAATCCTTTAATTTGTACTAAAAAACAGATATAATATACAGAATCATCATGTAAAATTAACGAAACCACTGATTATTATCGTCAGTAATCCATAGTGTTTGCAGTTATTAAGCTGTACAGCTTCACTTTCTATATTCAATAAATACCAAAGAAAAACCTGTAGAGTTAATTTTGATTACTTTTTTTTTTATGCTTTCCCCTGACCCTGAAGATATTGCTTTTTATAAAATGAAAAAAATTTAACAAATATTTTGGGTGCATATATACAGATATATAAAAGGTAGTTAAATAAATCTGGCAAAAAATGAGACCAGTTTTATTGACTACTTGAAAACTACTATAATTATTGTGGTTATTTTAGGAACATTTGCAGAATAGCGATGGAAAGAATTGACAATTTTCTTTGTACCTAATTTCAAGTTCTCCATTTTTTTGATCAGACTTTATAATTTTATAGTTGACATTCATTCTTTGTACTTCAACCTTTACTATAATTGAGTTTTGTTTAACATCAATGGCTGTGGTGGTATTTCTTTTAGTTGCTCAAAAGTAAAAGACAACAAAACAGAAAGATAAAGCAAAAGAACAAAACAAGAAGAACAACGAAAAAAAATAGATTAAACTAAATAACAGATAACTGAACCGGAAAAAACGTGAAATTATTGAAGCTAATAACAACTAAACAAACAATAACAACAAAAAAATCTATTCTTCTTCTCTTTTCTCTTTTTTTTTTTCGCTTATTCTCAACAACAATAGTAACTGTTCAAGAAATTCTTCTTCTTCCTTATTGATGATTAATTTTTACCATTGTTTTAGCTGTTGTTGTTGTTGTTTTATTATTCTTATTCCGTACTTTTTACCTATTCTTTATACCAAACAATATATTTTCACAGAGATTTAAAAGATCGGTCTAAGCAACCGATAAAATAATATCGACAAGTCGCTAACAGCAATTGCCGTTAATGTTGTTAGCCCATTATTACTTTTGCCGTTTCATTGTTCGCTTTTTAAACAAACTTTTTATGCTTCTTTAGTGTCTTAAAAAACCAAATAATTAATTTTTTAACAACAAAATTTTTGGTAATTAAAAAAACTAAGACAAGTAAAAAAAAGTAATAAACTGAAAAAAACATAAAAACACCAAACAAAAATTTTAGTTCATATAGAAAGACTGAAAAAAAGAACAGCTAATACTGGTGAAAAAATTTTTTTTTTGGGTATTCGTTTTAAATTATTGGTTTTGATCGGTAATCCGTTATTTAATTAATTTCAGAATTAAATTTGACGTCGATGTTATAGACATTTTGATAGGAAAGAAAAAAGAGGGTCAGAAACTTCATACAATATTCATCGTCTTGACTTCTATCAACTTTGGTCCCTCGTCTCATCCTTTTTTTTCTTCTGATTTCTGTTCTTTATTCTGTCAGTAAAATTATCAATAAAAACAAATGTCAGATAGCAACTAATATCGGTTGAAAACAATGGTATTTCTTTCAATACGAAAAAAAGGTTTTTTTTTTTAGCTTTAATTAATCGAGTTTCCAACACATTTTTCTTCTTCCTTCACTCCTAAGTAAGTCTGTCGTTTACATCAAATAACTGACTAAAACAAAGCAAATAAACAACAAAAAAACTGTGTTTTGATCTTTGACCATTTCCTTCTAATTTTTTTTTTTTCTTTTGGCTGCCATCCCTCTGTATCGGTGACAAAACAGCAATTATGTTTTGCCTTTTTCAATTTTTTTTTTTGGTTCTTTATTCCTTTCTTTTTTTTTTTAGCTTTATTTTCTTCCTTCTCTATTTTGACAGCTAAACTTTGCTTTAAAAGTTTCTACCATTAATTTAATTACAAAACAAGAAAAAATTCAATTTTCATTTTTTTCTTTTCACAATAACAACAACTTTTGAGTGTCTGAGGGAAAAAAATTGATAGAAATTTTGATGATCAGTTGCAAACTGACAAACAAAAAAAAAAGTGACTAGAAAACTTGTTGTTGTTTACAACCAACAGAATAACGGAACACCAAAAAAAAAAACTTCAGCAGAAAAATGATGTTCTAGAAAAACCAAAAAAAAAATAACAATAACAATAAAAGCAAAAAAAAAAATTTGGTGGTAAAAATTACCAATTAAGAAATAGTTTCTTCTTTTGCCTTCTTTTTTTTTTTGCTTCTTTATAAACATAAAATGAGAACGAAAGAAAAAACGGACGAAGAACCAAAAGGCAGATGAAAAGATATTGCAAAACCAAAAACAGAGAAACTTTTTTTGAAGATGATACAGCAACAAAAAAAAAATTTAATTTATCCATATCTGCAAAAAAAATTCCAATTATCAGAAAAAAAAACAACACCAAAACTCTGTTTGAATGCAAAAATTTCTTAGGACAGACCCCTTTAATTACAATTCTTTTCTATCATACCAAAATTAAGACTCTTTTTTTTTTGTTTTTGCAATTAATTTATTCAGTTCTGTAAAAGTATTTGTTTTTGGCAACGTTTACACATTTGTTCGGTATAAATGTATAAATGCACAAACTCAGATGTATCAGTTTCAAAGAAAAAAAAAAACCTCTATAAAAATTTCCGGTTCTTTTGCTTACTTTTTTTTTTCATGTGATAAAACTTCAAAAAAATTGGCTGCGTATCGATCGTAGGTTGATTTTTTTTTTTGTTTCTGATATATGTTTTTTCTTCTATTCCCTTTTTTCTGGTTGCTGTCTGTATAAATAAATGTATAGGTGTGTATCTGTCACATACAAACACATAGATGCTCATGCAGGAAAGTTTATAAGAAATTGTGTGAAAGTTTTTAATGATTACCTTTACAATTTGATCGATTCTTGCCTGTAATTCATTAATTAACCTGGCACCATCTTGAACACTGCACTGTGACAGTATATCTTCCAGTCCGACTAAACGTCCATAGACTACACTGTAACAACAAAAATACTATAAGCATATGAGGATTCTTTGATGGCAACAGGTCACAATTACTAATAACGATGATGACAATAAGCAGAATCTGTTTCCGATTTTGTCACTTTTCTTTTGGTAAAATTTCAAAAATATGTTGGTTTTCTGTTTGTTAAAACATTGCTTAGTACCCATCTGAGGATCAACTGGAAATCAATAAGAGTAATAAAGGCAATATAAAACTTGTACAAAAGTTTCAACAAAATATCCGACTATCAGTTGAATTCTATCTCACACCAATTCAAAAAACCCAAATACAGAGGAAGAAAAAAGTTAATCAGAAATGAGATGTTGCTTACGTCACTTGACTGTAATGTTCCGTATATATGCTCGGCAAAGTTTTGGTGATTTGTTGCCGTACCGCTCGAGCAACATGACTTGGAACTGCCGTCAACAATAATGTTGTCTTAAAACAATAATCACTGTTACTCTGCTGTACATTTCAGCAATCCACAAATTAAGAACAAAATCAAAATCAAAAACAGCAGTTTAACAAAAAAAAGAAATCTTAAAATGCTTGATTACACTTCAAGAAAATGAACATTTGCTGACTCTAAAGCTTTTTTGTTGTTTCTCTACTTCTGTTTAGCAGCTGATTACAAGTTGTTGTTCTTAACTTAAAATGCAACATCTGAGCATTCCTAACCAATTATAATCATCAGAACGTCAGGCTAGTCATCCAGTGCTTCTCACTCAGTACACTGATTGTGCTGTCAACGTCACTGTTGTTCAAAAGCTTTAATTCCTTCCTCCTCTTCACTTCCCTCCGTTTCATTCCATCTGCACATTTGATACCAGTTTTAAATAACCAAACCCTCCTTAATCAATTTGATTCATTTGGTGACTCATCTGACGGTTCTCAGTTCTTCTAATTCAGCAACTGTTTTTTGATAAATCGTTAACGGTTATGACAAAAAGAAGAAATAGAGAAATAAAAATGAAGAAGTATGCATAGCAATTTTTGATTGCTTAATTCATGTCTTTTTTTTCCTTTTGTCGTTGGTCTCCTTAGGATGCTTTCTTTTGAAAAGACATTGTTTTCAAAGAAAAAAGAAAAATTTATAATTAAAGTTAAAAATGATTTCTCAATTTTTTTCCCTCCGTCTTTCGTGCTACTACTACTATTCTTGTTAATGCTCGGAAAGCAAATTCTTTCAATAGTGACAGAATTTATTGTCATTAATCGCCACAATGGGATTGGTTTTGCCAGAATATTAAAAAAATTTTTTTCCTTGATTAATATGCACATTTTTCCCCTTCATCCGTTTTTTATAAGATGATAGCAAAATAAAGAAGCCAAAATACAGACCAGAGCTGAAGCGGCAGATACATATATATATTTAAAAATTAGCTGTAATAAAGTATTGGACAAAAGAAAGTTTAATTTCCTCTAAAAAAAGAAAAATATTTGATGCTTTTGAAAATTCGTCGTTTAAACAATTTTTTTCTCTTTTTTTTTCCTTGTTGAACCAAAATACCAACAATAAAACCTATGGCTGTTTATTTCGTTCAAATAGACTTTAAAAAAGAAGAAGGAAAAACAAATTACAGTTGCTTCAATTTCCAGCATCTTACTTTCGTCCACTTTTAATTTAAGAAAAGCAAACAATTCACCAAAAAAAAAAAAATTGATATTCTGCAACTCTCTTAGGAAATTACCATAAACTTTGTTACGGACAGATAGAAAGCTGCAATTTTTCAAATTTTGATCGCTTTAAAAGTGGATAAATTTTGAAGCGATATTTTGGTCACTGTACAAGTGTATGATGTGTACTGCAAATACTGTCTGTTTCCACTGATTAATTTCAATAAATTTTCAATTGCTTGAGAAGGAGCTGTTCTTTTTTTTTCTTGTTTTACCAAAAAAAAGGAAAAAAAAAAGGAAAAACCAGCGGCCATCAGTAATGAAGAACTGATGCAGAATAAGCAGCGGTTCGATAATTACCGCAAAATTTGTTTTCAAACCACGAAACAGTGTAGCATTCTGCAGAAGAAAAAAGCCGATCAAAATGCAACCAATTTTGTCTATGCTTTATTCATTCTTTTCTTTCTTCAGT